TCAAGTGCACTATTACCTATTTCGAAGCGCTGCTCTTTGCCGAGGTTGTTGTACATTACTTTCGTTTTCTGCAGATTAATTTTAAGACCCACCTTTCTGCTCTCCTTGTCTAACTCCGTAATCATGAGTTGCAATTCGTCCCCCGAGTTACTCAGCAATGCAATGTCATCGGCGAAGCGCAGGTTACTAAGGTATTCTCCATTGACTCTTATCCCTAACTGCTCCCATTCTAGGCTTCTGAAAACCTCATGTAAGCAGGCGGTAAATAGCATTGGGGAAATTGTGTCCCCCTGCCTTACACCCTTCTTGATTGGTATTTTGTTGCTTTCTTTATGAAGCACTATGGTAGCAGTTGATCCCCTGTAGATTTCTTCCAGAATATTTATGTATACTTCATCTACGCCCTGATTCCGCAGTGTTTGCATGACGGCTGATATTTCTACTGAATCAAACGCCTTCTCGTAATCTATGAAGGCTATGTATAGTGGTTGGTTATACTCTGAGCATTTCTCTATTACCTGATTGATAGTATGAATGTGGTCAATTGTTGAGTAGCCTGTTCGAAATCCTGCTTGTTCCTTTGGTTGATTGAATTCTAATATTCTCTTTAATCTGTTAGCAATTACCTTTGTAAATAGTTTGTATACTACAGAGAGCAAGAGAGCGTGCGGCGATGGCGTAGTGGTTAGAGCATCCGCCTCGCATGCAAGAGGTCCGTGGTTCAAATCCCGGTACCGCGCAGTTCCCAACCGGATTTTAAAAAAAAAATCCAAAAAATCCGCGTGTTGATGGAACTGCATTAAGAGGCCTGGGGTGCGGCCTCACCGGCAAACACCGCCGAGAACGCACTCCCTCACCAGAGAAGGATTGGCCACCCTGGTGCAGTATCTGGCCACTACCTCCCACATGCTTACGTCAAATAACTCACGGCCCTCAGTCCCCAGCAGCTGCAAAGCAACTGACCACGGCGGCGGTCAGATCTGCAACGCAGCAGAGGGTGCTAAGAATCTCTGGATCCGGACAGGCCGCCATTGGAATCTGAACTTGGCAACGTTTAACGCTAGAACCTTATCTAGTGAGAGAAGTCTAGCTGTACTATTTGAGGAGCTAGAGGGTGTTAAATGGGATATAATAGGGCTCAGTGAGGTTAGGAGGACAGATGAGGCCTTTACGGTGCTACAGAATGGGCACGTCCTTTGCTACAGGGGCTTGGCAGACAGAAGAGAACTTGGAGTGGGGTTCCTAATTCACAGAAACATAGCTGGCAACATAGAGGAATACTATAGCAATAATAAAAGGGTGGTAGGTATCGTAATTAAACTGAATAAAAGATACAAGATGAAGGTAGTAGAGGCTTACGCGCCTACATCCAGCCATGATGACGCTTCAGTTGAAAGCTTCTATGAAGACGTGGAATCGGCAATGAGTAAGGTAAAAACACAGTATATTATAGTGATGGGCGACTTTATTGCAAAGGTAGGGAAGAAGCAGGCTGGAGACCAGGCAGTAGGAGATTATGGCATCGGTACAAGAAACGCCAGAGGAGAGCTACTAGTAGAATTCGCAGAACGCAATAATTTACGGATTTTGAATACCTTCTACCGAAAACGAGAAAACCGCAAGTGGACATGGAGGAGCCCTAATGGCGAAAATAGGAACGAAATACACTTTATAATGAGTGCACACCCTGGAATCGTGCAGGATGTGGAAGTGATTGGCAAGGTACGATGCAGTGACCATAGAATGGTACGGTCTCGAATTCGCCTAGACTTGAAGAAGGAACGACAGAAACTGATACGCAAGAAGCCAATCAATCAGCTAGCACTGAGAGGGAAAGTACAGGAATTCAGAGTGTCGCTGCAGAACAGGTACTCGGCTCTTAGTGAGGAAACCAACCTTAGCGTAGATACAATGAATGATAATCTGACGAGTATCATTACGGAGTGTGCAGTGGAAGTTGGAGGCAGGGTAGTTCGACAGGACACTGGCAAGCTTTCCCAGGAAACGAAGAACCTAATTAAGAAGCGTCAAATCATGAAAGTGTCAAGTACAACAGACAAAATAGAACTGGCAGAGCTTTCGAAGTTAATTAATCGACGTAAGGTATGCGATGTAAGAAGGTATAACATGGAGAGAATTGAACACGCTCTGAAAAACGGAGGAAGTGTCAAAGCATTGAAGAGGAAACTTGGGATAGGCAAAAGTCGGATGTATGCACTAAGTAAAACTTGCGTTGGGTCTACAGTAAAACTTGCGTTGGGTCTAGTTGGTACATAGCACAAAAAAGCAATACAAGTAATAAATATAAGGTTAGGGCTGATGCGAAAGATCTTGCCGTGCAAGCATGAAGCACTCGTTACAGATGACACCAAAGGTGAATCATGGAGCCTTGGTGCTTATGACTGGTGTAATCTTGGTAGCTCAAATAAGTCTGTTACCATTTATTGGTTATGTCTGTCCAGAAATCATAAGTGGTGTTTGTCCACCGTGTGCAGCCTTGTTCAACTGTCACAGACCTGAGCTGAATAGGGGGATTTACCCTATTTCGGTGGCATCTTTATGTGTTAATGAAGTCTTGATGTGTGTGTGTGTGTGTGTGTGCGTGTGTGCGTGCGTGCGTGCATGCGTGTGTGCGTGTGTGCGCGTGCGTGTGTGTGCGTGTGTGTGTGTGTGTGTGTGTGTGTGTGTGTGTGTGTGTGTGTGTGTGTGTGTGTGTGTGTGTGTGTGTGTGTGTGTGTGTAATGAATATACCACCACCACATCTGGCGACCATGTTTGCCCCATTTACGTGACCTACGTACTAGCCGAACTTTGGTTTCGTCTAGCCAATATCATTGATGGTAATAATGTGTCGATAGCAGGTTTGTCTATGGCCACTTGGCTGCATTCGTCAACACTGTATTTACATTTACTATTCTACATATACACCTACGTGAATTACAGCGTCAAAGCTAGTATACGCCATGTTCGCCGCTATCATCGTTCTTAAATTCGTTGTTCATGACTTGCTGTCTTTCAATACAAGTGAAAATTCTAAGAATTTTCAGTGAGATCTCTTTTCAACATTTCCTGTATACAAAATATTATTTATCACAAAAATAACTGTGCTTTTGAGTAATTCAATGTATGAAGGCAGCTGTTGTGATAGTACACGACTTTATGGCCCCGGAAGACATGCTGGACAAATAAAAAAGAGACATATTGACAACAAACATTCGGCTATACCAAATGTTTGCACATAATCGCCTTTCTTTTAAAAATAACTGTGGTAAACTTTTGTCTGTACCGCAGTACTGCGGAATTAAAGCAGACCTTGTGTTAATGTTTTTTGTATATGACAGTTATTACAGAGTTTAAACATAGAATGGTGCAATCTACTAAATACTCCATAGTACCGCTCTGAATAAAGCAGAGAAAAATAAAGGTGGTGTTGTTGATATCCAGCTCCGTCAAGAAGACAAGCAGCATTTTTCACACTTTTAGCAGATGTGAGAGCTTGGCTTAGATACCGATTGCCAAAGCAGACAATGTTTGCGTACGAGCTTCGTGGCACAGAGAAGTATACGCTGAAGCCTTTACGCTAAGGCAAAGGACGCCAAATGAGGAACTGTTTCGTAAAGATAAGCTTGTGACATCGGAGAAGAAGGGCCATGCAACTCGTTGTTCCGGCTGCGGCACTCGATACAGACAGAAACTGGGTCACCAGCCACCACGGCATCTGGCAGATTACACTCACCCTTTCGACGCATTCCGTGCGAGTCAGCGGATGCGTTTGATATACAATTCATGTAAGTTAACAACGTATTTGAGCATACGTTATGTGTGAGCTCTATTAATCTGGAGCCCAAGCAATGATGATAGACTTTAGCTATCATGAATACTTCCCGAAATTAAATGTAGAAAATATCTAAAATATATAGAATGACACCCGCATTTTGGTTATACCACTAGAAAAACAAGTGAATGGGCTTTTGTATAAAAGCAGCTATTTTGACAATACACAATCCTATTGCCCCTGATGATGTGTTTCCCATATCAAGATGAGACATATTGGTGGCAAAGTTTTGGTTATACCTTATGATCACATATATGTGAATTATTAGGCTGATAGTAACCTAAAGTCACTAAGCTATATATATATAAAGTGGGGAGTGTATCTTCCAAGCTGCACTTTCAAATAAAAAAATGTTAGGGGCAGAGTAATCAATACATGCGTTTGATTGATTGATATGTGGGGTTTAACGTCCCAAAACCACCATATGATTATGAGAGACGCCGTAGTGGAGGGCTCCGGAAATTTCGACCACCTGGGGTTCTTAACGTGCACCCGATACATGCGTTTAGATTATGATGAAAAATAAAAAAAACAATTATTGAAGAGGTTAATATATGTTAAATAATGATACAAAAATTGTGAGACGGACGCAAAAAAAATCAGAGAGTCTTTCAACGCATGTGTATCGGTTACTACTCCGGCCAATACAAACTATTACATAGCATCTCTGGTCACGAGCAGTTAAAATAATAAAGAAAACATGGAGTGAAGCACGCGAAGAAAATATAAAAGAGAAATTTATTTTCATTACTTCCACTGCCCTTCTGCCTCAGTGCTCATTCTCCGAAACTGCAAAGAGTCCGAAACAGTACGATCGCATCGTGCCATGAGCACATATAGATAACTTTTAACAATATTCACGAAAGTGTGAGCCTAGTTTACCACCTAGTTTATCGGCTTGTTCGCTACTTGGGTGGTTAGGTGAATTCCGTGACGTATAAAACTATAGCATGTACGAGTGAATCGCACGAACACTCGGAAACGCACACATTCACAAGAATTCCGGACGGAACAACTTCAACTAAATCATCCTGTCAACCTTCCCTCGCGAAACACAATCGCACGTGAGCATGCTCGTTCAACGTGCGCGTACAACAACAAAAAATGTCTACCCATAAAACAAGAAAGCACAAGAATCAAGCACCAGCCCTTCGAGCGTACTCACAGAGCGTCTCGTACTCCAAGCAGTCCGCGAGTGCCGCAAGGAGAACGGAGAGCATCCAACGCGCGGTGACTCGCATCCTTCTCGAGCGGGGTTCCCCACCCCGTTCTTCGACGCGGTCTGGCCCGATGTATATTATAAGGCTTCCCTCCCGTCGGGCACGCTCGCCACCGCTGGGCACCCTCCGAACTCCTGGGGCGTTTTGCTCGCAGCAGCAAGCGAAGTCTCTCGCGCGTATTCGTTATTCCTTTCAACCGCTCCCTTCTCCGTATCCTTCTCTGCCACATTCAAGCGTCTTTATTATTTTTTTTTCATGTGGTCGTCGTGTTTGCTTTATTTCGAGTTAGCGCACCGCCTCCGAGTCCAAATGCGTCTCCAGTCTTGGCAGCACAATGCCGATGTCGCAATCCCGCGCGCGAAAGGTGTCCGCAGGAGGTGGGTGAGAAAGTGTTTGCCCGTGTTTTGTGTTTCTCTCGGAATCTTGCACCTTTCCCCACTTGCTATTGCGCGTGAAATCTCTTTTCTTTCTTTTCAATAGCTTTGCTCACTCATCGTTTTTTTGGTTTTTTTTGCCGTCTAAGTGGTCGTGGCAGTGAAATTGCATTTGTGTTGTGGTTCTCCTAGTAACTGAACCATAATTATAGTCTCTAAATGGTCTACACCATTAGGCGCTCTGGCCAACGAATGCGTAATGACCCAATGTGGGTCAAGACTTTATAAAATGATGTGTCTGGTGCCATCGTTAAGGTGTGGCCAATTAACCAGTATGTTATTTTTTGATCGAAACAGTTTCGTGTAACTACTTTTTTTTTGTTTGGCAGTTTGATAAGGAACTTGTGATGAGACAGCTATAAACGATGGGAACTATTTGAATGCTTTCATAAACTCGTTTTTTAACGAGTATCAAGCGATAGGTAACCCGAACAGTCGTTAAACTAGTCATTGAATGGCGATAGAATAGTAAATTGAAAGTAATGCTCATTAGATCATTATTAGCATCTGCACATACTCCAGCATATATGTGTTCAAAATAAGACTCACCGTCAACGTGTATTTAGAATTTTCTTGGTATTTTTATGTACAAAATGCAGCTAGTTCGATAACATGTTCCTTTGTTTGATTTTGTTTCACAAAATGCAACTCCGAATCGGACATTAAAATGAGAGTCTATAACATGACTACTGCATGCCCTACATAAATTCAAACGCGTTTTTCAAATGTTGTAATAGCGACTGCGTCAAGCAAACGCTTTAAACGAGTAACGCAATGCCTTGATTGTACTGTTTCCGCCTTCTGCACAAAAGGCATTCATGTTTAAAGGGTTCCGAGCCTCACGTTACACTCATGCACATTAGACTACACTACAGCTCTTGTGCACTTTTTGTTTGTTTTTCAGTAAATGATAAGGTAAAATAACACGTCTAATACTGCTACTTTGCAAATGCCAGCAATTCTGTATTTTGTTGGCCGGGTCAGGAAACGCTAGAAAATTCAACCCCGTGATTATTTGCCATTGTAATCTAATCTAAGCAAAATACTGCGTCCCATTTTTACCAGTCGGCCTGCAAGACTCCCAAAATATTCGGCAAGCATCCTCACATAGTGTTTCGCGTGCGTCGGATGCTCCTTTCATATAAACAAAAAATCCCAGCATATCAACGAAGTAAATGATGACGTGTGGGTGAAGCTCCAGGGGATCATTAACCTCGTGCATTGCCCACTCGATCATGCAAAGACGTCACAACACGCGTGTACAGTATACGCAGAGTTGTTTGTTATTCAGTATGCGCATACGGTGTTGAGATGTCCTTGTAGATAGTCCTATGAATATACATAACATAGAGCTTCATACAATAATACTTAGAGGGGAATCTCGCGCTGGTGTCTACGCGGAATCCTTCAGCGGCGCTTGTATGGGAATGATGGGAAGTACAGTCTTCGGATCTGCTTCAGATTGATCATGTTCTTGAGATTCGCGACGCTTGTTTGCTGAGTGGAAAACAATGTGATAAGCCGTAATGTGTAAATAAAACTTGCTTAAATTTTGTTCACAAAATTTATTGCAAAACGTTTTTGTGACTAGGTGGTAGAAGTGAAACCTGGACATATTGAACCACCAGGGTATGCATTGCTCTGCCATCGCGTTCCAGATTTTGCATAAAGATATAATGAATTATTATTTACAAGATTTCAAAAGAAGCATTCTTGTTTTTCCCTGGAAAGTACACAATATCTATTTATGGAAATAACAACACGGTATTAAGTGAGAAACACTTAATGTTTCGTCTGCTGCGATGACAGGTGCGTCTGTTTCAGTGGTCTGCCTCCAACACAGCTCTCGTTTTATTGTGAAGTCGAGTCAGAAGAGCGTGGCGGTGCGTCTACTTCGTCTCGCCGTAGTTTTTCAGTTGATTTCGACGAGTTTTCGCAAGACGCACTAACAACAAACGTCACCTTGATGTAATACCCTTCACTGGCATGAGACGCTACGTCTTAACGCAGCGGTAAGTGGACGACGCTTCGCTTAAACTGTCAAACACGACTTATACAGCCCTAGCGTTGCATTAAATTGAGAGGCCTAGCAGTTTTCAGCTTTCTTAGCAACAAAGGCGTAGCTTCAGTTCTTTTCACCCACCCCAGTAACAACTCTACGCGAAGAGCAAAACTGCAACTGAAGAAAAAGATTCGTAGACAGTTTGCTAGCCAACACGATCCGATCCGAAGCCTGTACATCCCATAATTTCCATGAGGGTACGCGATCGCAGTGCCAGATTTCTCTCTAGATATTACTGTATGAAACTCAATGATCCGTAAGAATTTCCCTATAGATTAATATATCTATATGGGTCATATGGGTATTCACATAGACATGGATAATCATATGAATATCCTTGAGGGTCACGTGGATATTCAAATGAACATCTATATCGTGTCACGCCGACGGGCACAGTACTAAAGACAGGAGTAAGGCTCGACAATAAGAAGCTTAGTCCCTAAAAGGGGAATACTTGGCGCTTATTTACCATAACCATCAAAAGCACTGTGCTATGCCTCTCAGCCATGTAAGTGTAAACCATCCTAGAGCTACAGTTGCCCAAGATGTCTAAGTATAAATACCGGCATGCAGAGATGTCCTACTAACTTTGCATGAGCAAGAGAACCCAGGGTTGTCATTAGGTGTACTTGTGAAAAGGCCAGAAGGCTAACCAAATGTGACGAAAGTGGCCAAGTCATTTATTACTATCGCCAAATTTGTAGCCAAAGCGAACCGGAATGGTATTATGAGCAGAGTTTTTACAAGAGATCAATAAAGAAAACCATTTCCATTAAGTAAGACCAGAAGGGCAAAAGCGGCAAGAGAATTGCCAAGGCACCAACTGGAAATTTTCGTCGCAAAATGGTTTGAAAAGTAAGAATTTATCACGGAGTAGCCACTAGCGTCAACCATGAGAGAAACCACATTCGCGGTATGTGACAACAAACACCATTAGGTTCAGCGGCGTTTTAAATTCTTGTGTTAGGATGGTTTTCTAACATTGCTTTAGAGAAACTTAGAAACACTTCAAAAAGTAAGTAAAAAAGCAGTACTGGTTTCATGACTATTCAGCCACTCTTAAAAAAAAACACTGCATAAACGCAGTGTGTTTCTAAACGCACTGCAACTGCTTTCTTCATGAGGGTGTTATGGGCAAAATCTTGAGAAACAGCAAGAGTTAGCAAATTTTTAAAACTATTTTGGAAGAAGAAAAACTTACTAAGCATATGGTCATCACTTTAAAAGTTCATAATATTGTTTTCTTAGACTGGTAAAAAAACGTAAACATATACTTTATTGCCAGTTGTATACTCTTAAGGAAAAAAAAAGTGCATTGGTTACTCTGTTCTTTGAGTCCTTTTACCCGCGAATACAACTCTCTTGAAAGCTGCACTTGAACTCTCTTTTGAACCGCATGACTTTGCAGCAAGGGTATAATAATTTCCAAAGAGTATTCACCTGAGTCTGGGATGAGGGTCATGTCAGTAGCAATTTTGAGTCAATGGAGTGTCTTTTCTTCTTCTTTAATGTGTACCAACACTGACACAACTTTTATGGCTGCTCATGGAAATTGACACCTTAGTTTCACCAGAAGTATGTCATCGCTTTCGCAATAAACGTTAGAGGATTGAACTCGACAAAAATGTGTTTCCAACCTTTGACGCAACAACCGGAAGCAGTAGTACGTCATGAGTTCCTGCGTAAGCCGTACCTCTCTTCCTTCTCCGCTGACATAAGATGCGTTCTCGAGCTGTCCCAACACTGTACAGTACTATGGCAATTTTACTACAAGACACGGCGTAGGCGGCAATGGAATGTGTTGGGCCGCCTGCCTAGACCGCTGACGTGCCAGGAGGACGTGGGAAAGCTTATGGGCCTTTACGCGTTGTTGACGTTCTGCGGGCTCGAGGAATAACTCCACGGGCGAGCCAGAGAGAACGAAATGAATAAGAACAACTACAGCGTCCTCTGTGCTTGCGATGTCATTTTTTGTTGCTGTTGCAGAAAACGCCCCTGCCGTGAGTTTCGTAACAGCGTCCGGTTGGGATGCGTGGACTAGGAGGCGTGGGCTTACGTCATCACGTCCATTCAACGCATTTACCCCGCTGTGCGAGAACGTTTAGCAAAACGAAGTGGCAAACTTGGCGCCCAGCTAAAAATAAAGGGGCCTCCCTCAGTCTAGACGAGTGAAGCGAACAAGGACCGGGCGGAGTGCGCATGCTTTGAAAACTTAGCGCCTCTCGCAGTCTTTCATATTGTATACTGTGCAGTTGGTAGAAGTATTAGCTGGTTTTGTCGGTTTGCCTCGGTGAGGTAATACTTGAATAATTTCAAACAATCGGACCTATAGGTATGCATTACTTCATTATTCTTGAACGCTCGTAGGGAATGAGCGTGTACCTTCAATAACAAGGACACATTCATTCGCAGAATTACAGATGGCAGAGAGAGAAAGAAATACAATTTATTATTTTGCGGAAAGGTGAGAGACAAACCTGTGTGCTGCAATAATACATGCACTAATTCATGCAAGCTATAGTTAAGGCAGCCAGTGTTCGTCAAAATATCGTGCAGTGAGCCCGCTACGCTTGACCACGTCTTTTGCTCTGACGGGCACTTGTAATTTGACTGTCAATAAGGTTTCCTATGCCATCCCACTTCCGAAAGGCAACAAAAGCACTGTCGCGTTTTCTTGAGAACACCGAGCAGA